TGACATTAGCAACGATTAAACAAAACAAGAAAAAAATTTAACTGCGGCTGCACCGAAGCTATAATATCTTTCACAGATGTATTTTTGTAGCATAAATATTTTTATCGCTCTTTTCTAATGACAGCTATATGTCCGATCTGAACAATATATTCGCAGATTCCATATAAGGACTTGAGTTGGATCGGTCAGTTTGTATGGCAGCTATGTACACGCTATAGTTGTCCGATATGGATAGCAAATGGGTAGCTTCTTGGTGAGAAAAGGAAGTGTGCAAAATTTCAGGAGCATATTTTAAAAACTGAGGGACTAGTTAGGGGCGTATATATAGGCGGTCAGACGGTAGGATATATTTTTAGTAAATATTAACACCAATGTTTTCTTCTACAAAATTGTATGTCAAATTTACCTGCTTTTCGTTGCCACAATCCAATCACAGCGCGCTCTTCGGATAGATAATTTGAATGTTTGTAGCAGGCAAAAGTCATAAACAACCAAATCCAACATGCCAAGCGATGACTGTTTTAGTCCCTAATTAAAGAACTATGTATTGTTTTTTTTGGAGAAAAATCAGGCTTAATGGTACCAACCAGGTATGGCTGAAGGAAGGTAAACTCTGAATCATTTGAAAATTATCGCTTAGAAATATAGAAAATGAAAAAGGCAAACAAAAAAAAAATAACAACACGCGCTGTTATGAGAAATATGATCAAAAAGAAAAACGAATAGAATTAATTAAATAAATAATATTTGAATAAAAATAATTTAAAAAGAAGTTAACGTAGCGCGAATTCTATAGAGCTTGTGCTAAACTAATGTTAAGCGAGTCATATATAAAAAAATTGTAGTGAAGTTTACCATGTATGCTTTGAAGCAACTTAGTAAACAAGAAGTTTTAAAGTGAGTGGTCCGGGTTGTTATCAAGCATAAAAGTCCACCAATCGTTTATGTTCATCTCATAGAAAGATGTCATACATTTTTATGGCATGCTTTCCTTTGAGCGCATTTATTTATTTTAGAGCATATGGATGTGCTGCTTCTAATGCATATATCATAAATGCGTTATTTTAAGAAACTTACTATATATACTCGTATGTACTTTACCAGCCCTTATACAAGTATGTATGCCTTTTCATGTGCCATCAATGAAAAGTTATATGCCTGCATTGCATTGGCGCCTTTTTCCGGCCATATGACTGTCGCTCCTGGTATGCGCCAGTTCACTTGTTTTATTGCTGCAATTGGCACCTGTGTGCAAGTGCCACACACACATACACACATCCTTTCAATAGGCGTCATTAAATAAGGGTGCATTTCTTGACTTTATGCTCATAAGAATTCATGTATTTTGCTTGCAATCCCTTATTTCCTCGTAACAGCCGGCTTTTGTTTATGTTGTTGCAACCTTGATGGCATATACACACGTATGTATTTACATATTTATGCATTATTCACCTGTTCGCCTGTGAAACGGTTTCCCTTACAATTTTTCTTCAGACGTACTTCGTTCGCACAACATACACTTATCAGCATCTTTGTGTATGTTCGTGTGTTTATGTGTGAGCGCGTGTGAACGCATTTCCTTTGTTGCCACAACTCTTGGTAACTGCACAACAATGGCAGAGTCGCGCGCCGCATTCGGTTTATCTTTCACAGATGTACATATACATATATACGTCTTTACATGAGGGCATATAGATGATACTTGATGCGTTCTCGCTGTTGCCGCGCCGCCTGCAAACACTTCACTTGCACAATTCTTTGGCTTCACATTGTACTTGTATTCAACGGTGTTCGCCGACAAGATTCCTTACATGTGCCGGCTTGTCTTACTGTCTTATTGTGCGATTGCATTCACTTCACTTGTTTGCCTTTGCTTTGCGCGTCTGCTTGTGCACACTCGTCTCTTTGTGTGTGTGTGTGTGCCTTGCTTACATTTTCGGCTCAATTGCGGCTTTTGCAATGACGCGTTTATTTGCCACCACCGGCCGCTCTTTTACTGCTGTTGCTTACTTTTTATTGTTGTTGTTGCACAGCTGCGACTGCAGGTGTCTGCTGACTTCACATTAGCCTTAGTCTATTGTTTACACTCTCGAAACAGATGATTTTCAGAAGTTTTATCTATAGTGCCGCCAGTTGGCTGTGAATTGTGTTGCGATTGCATTGCGGTAAAACAAAAACAAAAGCGACAATTGCTGTGTTGCCACCAGTTAATGCTGTAATTAAAATTCAAATTGTATTTACTCACAAACACACTAAATGTTTAGATATTAGACAGTATTGTTTGAACGGCTTTGCGCATCGCTTTAGCAAAGAATTTATGCGCTTTGCTTTATACGAATCGTAGTAGACAACGCGTTCCAACTGGTTCCGAATAGGTAATTAACGCATATACTGCAAGAAGACACAATCGCGTGCCAAAAACATTCTCAGTACAGATAAGGCCTGGCGATTGTGTTTATCATTTGAAGGTTCCAACTAATTTCGTAGTTAATCAAAATTTGTGTAAGCCGGCTCGGGTCGTTATTCAGTTAAAACTTCACATAGGTCATATTTTTAAATCAGCATGGGGCTATTATGTTCCAGCACAATTCGGCCATATGCAAAATAATCAGTTATCTTACCAATTTCTATTCAGAGTTCATTCTGACTCTCTCCAGATATCTACAAATGCTTTATATTTAAGTTTATAACATTCATTGTGACGTAGAAATTGAAGAGACATTCTATTTTTCTTTTAATCCGACTATTTTATTCCAAATATGTGTGTGATTCAACACTAGATGATATGAAAGAACAAGTTGTTTACGATATACATACATATTATATACAAGTATCATTAAGAGAGAGAGAGAGAGAGAGAGCGTGAGTTCAAACAAAATGAACGCGCGATTCTCCATAATAGCAGCATACTGCCAAATTGTTAACAGAAAAATAATGCTGTAATAAATAACGGCAGAGAGCTATAATTTCAGTCAGATTTTAATATGATTCATAGATCGTGACATCGTCCACTCTATTATTAAATGTATTAAAATTGTATCTGTCAAGCCGCTCAACCGATTTGAACAAAATTTGGTGCACAGTAGTCATATGCTATTTTATAAAAGTGATGAGATAATAAACAAAATCGGCTGTCAAAACCACTCCTATCTATCTATCACATATAATATCTATGTAAATTTCATCAGCTCATTTGTTATTTAAGTGGAATGTTGAAGCTTTTAGATACTAGTTGCAAGTAATAACGCCATAACTTGTACTTATAAAATCGAAAGTTCTTGCAAATTTGACTGGAATCAGTCGATAACTGTAAGTTTTACAACGCGATATCTTTCCATTCGGTCACACCACCTGACAACGAGTTTTTTAAACAATTACTCAGGTACTTGATTGAAAACAGTTGTCCAGTTATTCTCGATATAATATTAAAATCAGTTCGAAAATTCGCTAATCTCCGCATTGGTATATGTATGTACATTTCTCTTGCTTCTCTGTAGGCGGCAGGCGTCCATAAATTTAAACAGAAGTCTCAGTATCGCTGAAATTCATTTGTACAGTTTGTTTGTGAGAGCATTTGCTAAAAAGTTGTGTCATCCTTAATTTTTGATGCACTGTTTATTATTTATCACAGAGAATTTACTATTATTTTGAATTGGGAGAGCAGATAATAGCACATAGTTTCTTATTTAAGTCTCGTATACATACCTACTATACTTACATATAATTCGTTGTAAGCCGATTAATTTACGAAACGCTTTGAGTAGCTCAGCTGCTTTTTAATTCTATCAGAAATTCCGATTATTAAATTAATATCTCTTGAGAAGTTTTATGTCGCTTAGGTGTAAAAAATAGTTTAATTTTTTATTTCCATATTTTATTATTATTATTATTATTTCGAATCAATATCATAATTCTGAAAACAAAAAGTTATGTATTACTATCTTATTTGCTTGGTTTTCATGCTGACGTGCCTCCTCTATTTTATTCTATTTGCACAACTAACGATTGTCTGCATGAAATCAGCAAAAATTAAGTGTTCTACCGGCACATGCAGACGCAAAACTCTTCGGCCACCACTTGCCAATGCTTTTTTCTGCTTTTCTCTTTCATTTTCCCTCCACGCCATACAATTTAACCACCATGCAAAACCAGTCTGTCCGTCCTTTCATGCTCCAAACAACATCTTCATTTATTCAAGAATTAGTTGCTCAAAAGTTTTTGCTTGCAGTCGCATGGTTAGCCGCTGCCGTTGCATGAATGGCTGGGTGGTGGGTCGGTTGGTTGGTGAATCAGACCGTTGTTCGTTCGTTAGTCCATCTATGCGCGCTGCCAGTCACTTTATTGTTTATACATTTGTCTGTGCTCCGGTTTTTGCGGTGAGTTTGGTAAATTCTGAGCCAAGATAATCAACTTTCAAATCTTTCACGCAAACAATACATTTACAAAAACACATGCATACATGTAAATGAGCTACATTTAGCAACACCCAATACCATTTCCTACTCTTGTGTTCACACAGCCAGGCCTTAGCTAAGTTTTTCCTCCAATATTGGTTGAGATGGCGAAGGGGGCAGCATTGCCAAAACAAAGCTACGAGTATAAAGCATTGTTATTGTGGCTAGTATTTGTATGTTACCAATTCTATTGACCGCCAATTCAGGCACTTTCTACAGCCGAGATTTTAGTTCCAACCCACCCTAGCAATTTCTTTGATTGTACGCCTGCTGCTGGCACACAGCACAGTTAAAGCATCTTTGGAAATTGCTGGCAGTAATTGAATTTCAAAGTTCGGCACAATTGCAAATCGTTTCGGTTTATTGAATTTGTATGTGTTTTTATATGCTCAATGAACGAATTTTAGACTTGATTTTAAATTTGGGTTACAGTTGAAGATATTACAAATTGATTCAATGTTTTATTGATGCTTACGAATCAACTTCAAACGTTGTTCATGCAAATTTAATAAACCATATTTATGTTGGTTCTCTTTTTCTTTTCAGGTGAGTACTCAGTCGATGTTGTGGTCAAGTCGATCGATTTGAATAATTTTTGTGAAGTAAATTTTTTTCGTATTAAAGTAAATCGCTTTAAGTGTCTAAATGTAAGTATTTATTTGAAATTTAAAACATCGAAATAAAGTTCAGTATTAAGTAGAAAGAAAATGCTGTTAGTTCTAGAACTTGTATTGATGAGCCTCACTTTTTATTGATATACTATTTTAAAAAAGCTCTTGTGGCTTTCTTGTTTGGTGAGAGTTTCTGGCTCTGCTTCATAAATAGTTCTCTTTGAGTGCTGATTGCATTGTGTCCAAAATATCGGCTTTTTTACGACACATATCCATGTCCCAAACTCCACCCTAGCTCATTAGGTAATATTCTCTGACCATAAACAAACCGCTACGGGGTTTCAGATCATCAGATATGCATTATAGATTCATCGAGTTGTTAATTTAGATTAGCAAAAAATTATGCTTAGATTTTCCGATAATCGTACTGCTTCTGCATTGACTTTGCAAATGATGCAATATTTTTCAGGGTTCTTTAAACGTAAAGCGATTGATTCGTTTTTTTATGAATTCTGAGCAGAGCATCAAAAACATAATTGAATTAGCATCTTTTTTTATTTTGTAATCCCGAATTCGGTTTTAAAACACAAAAAAAAATATTTTACTCCGCTATGGATTAAAAAGTAAAAATAGATTCGCGTTTGCGTACTTCATTCAAATTAAAAAATAAAGTTTAAAATTTTCAATTTTTAATCCCAACATCCCTTTTTAAAAAATTATTTAAAAAATTAAAATATAATCCTTAACTCAAAATTTTGGAATTAAAAAATATAGACTCTCATTGGTTCTTTCTTACTCTCTAAGTCTTTCTCTCACATACAGTAAAAGTCATTATATGAGCATCAAAAGTTCCCGATTAAACATTAAATCTGCAGAAAAGAAACTGGAGTGTAATCATAACAAATTTATTACAAAACCGAGTATTTAAAAACTTTCTTCTAACATCGTATCTGTTTTTTGTACTTGTTAGAAAAACTAATGACATTAAACACAGAATATGCTCATAAATATTGACTTAATCTTTGCAAGCCATTGGAAGCTCATGCGAATGTATGTAAAGTAGTTATATTATTATAAAATAAATTTTATGCATTTTTTGGTTTACTTTTAGATAGGTTTTTGTTCCCGTCAAACATAACTCAGAAAAAGCTACAAATACATGTTATAAAATTGCCCACCCTCTCGTTGATCGCTTAACCAGCACACATTTAACAAATAACCCACTCATTTGCCAACTGTGAAAAATCAAAGTACTGCACACAAATAAACTTCAGTGCCACACAATTATGTACATACAAGTATATTCTTACAGCATTAAAAACTTTTAAATTAGTGAAGATTAATCGCTGCTCTTTAAGTTTTAGCACTCCGCCAAACAACTTCTTCGCCAAGTCCCAATTGACTGCGGTAGACCAAGAAGTAAACACTTCCAAACTATGTAGTCGTAATGAAAATAGAACAACAACGAAGAAGTTCGCTCGCTGTTGCCAAATATTATAGTCACCTAGCTGAAGCCATGTGGGGGAGTGTTTTAAGAGGCCAATCAGTTGGTCACAAATAAAGAAACGAAAATAAATTTCTTTCCAAAAAGTGAGGAAATTTTGTTCAAGCAAAAGTATGGATGGGTGGAGGCGTGAACGGGTGTTCGATTGTACTCGTATGTGCGATTGTTAAGCGAAAAGCAACCATGTTATACACGCAGAAGCGGATAGCTCGATACTAGTGAAATGAAAACTCAACTGGGGAGTACCTTTGATTTACTGACTCGTTGCTGGAAAGCTGGTATCACAAACAACTATTAACATTCAAATGAATATATATGCGCGACCTAATGTGCTCAAGTAGTATCAGTGTATTTGTAGTTAGTTTTGTATATGTATTACAAATAATTGACGCGAAAGGCGCGAAGAACGTAACGCAGAATCGTCATTAAAAGTCATGAGAAGAAAGTGTTGCTGTGTCTGGTGCACAAACTTTCGTTGTTGTTTAACGCTACTTTTACGGCGTTCTTCTTCTTCTTTTATGCGAGCTTCAAAGCTAAAAGAAGTTCATATAAACATAGATAGTAAAAGTGTGTGTATATCGCCGACTTTTGACTGTGATTTCTTCATGCTGATGATCGACTCAAAGACGCGTAGTAATTACATACGCACCAATGACCTCTCCAAATGCAAAAACAACAAAAACAATAAAGAAAAATTAACTTCACAATCGTTTCTTTTTCTGCTACTAGTCGATTTTACACACTTCTCTTATTTAATTCCCAGTCGAGTGGTGCCTCCATCGCTTTGTGAGTGGCCTTAACCCATGAGTCTGTGGCATTATATCCATAGAAGGCAAGTAAGCCTTAACTATTTCTGCAGCTAAAGTGTGAAAAGTGGTATTTTCAATCGTTTCTTCTTTCATAAAAATATTCTAGTATTACTGCCATATTCTCTCCAGAGAAAAAAATAGTTTTTTTCCATCGCTTCGTACACGAATCGCGCTTCATTTATCACGTTGAGCCATGTCGGTCGCTGTAAAAACTATGTCCAGCTCAAAAGATCGCTTCAACAAACACGCACAAACATGTAAATGTATATTTAATTTCTTTTTCACACACTCACACACACTAACCGAGACGTCGTGCGGCGTGTGTAAGCGGTTGCCACTATGAATGATAGTCGAAAAAGAAAAGATTTGTAATGGTCATAGAATGAAAAGAAAGCGGCGCATGGGAAAAAATGTTTAAAGCTTTAATTGTTTTCAGCGAAGATTAATTAATCTTTTATACCAAAAAATAAGTCTACAAAGATGAATTATGTGCAAATATAAAGCGTATAATTTTAATTTGAGCAACTAAAAACCCAAAAGCAAAGCTTGAAAATGTGAAGAAAGCGTAAAAATCGATGTAACTTAAGATTTTAATTTTTACGATTAATTTTGTGAATTTTCGAAAACGGTTAACAGTAAAGTTTAAAGCATTAAATGGTATTTCGCAACAGAATTAAATGCTTACAAAACATTTTATTACAATACTAATACATTAACAAAAATTCTGGGGACTAGAGAAAATTCTATAATGAATATATTGAGTTTTTGACACTTCCTGTGTGGTTTCGAAGAAATATTGAGCTTTGTCTATGAAAGCTCATCTAGAAAGCTCAGTTTTTATTTTCAGATCGAAACAATCAGAAGGTATAAGAAGAAGAAGAGATTATAGAACATCTTCTATGCGAATGCAAGGCTTTCTATAGGAAAAGAGTCGCAACTATTCGGCGAGGGTTTCTTGACGACTTCTCGCAGCTTGCACAGACAAAAGATTTTGTACTGATGAACTTAATTAAGAACACAGGGTGGTTCCAAACGGACGTAATGGAGTAGGGTGATTTTAGTCCGGTGGTTGGACATTCACTCTACCTACCTACCCAGTTTCAGATGCAATATGATTACACTACAGTTCAGTTTAATTTCGTTTCAATAAAATATGATCCAGTTCTAATAGAAATCTGGTAGTTAATATACTACTGAGAATATTTTGACTGTAGCGCCATCTATTCGATTTTCGAAACACGCATTGCATTTGTTGTATGTGCATAGACTTGCCATAACTTATAAAATAGCTTTTACGTTGAATTATTTGCTAACTCACTTCACTTGGTATTTATGTTATATACCTTATGCTCTTTTCTTTCTTTTAAATTTCTGAAGTGCGAGATTTTAGCTTAAATGCTTCGGATATTTTTTATCTTTAAAATTTTTTAAGGTCTTCATTGCTAAGTGAGTTAGATTAAAACTACTCTGCATTAAAGATTTTTCAATATAGAATATCCACAGCTAACCTCTGTTTAAGAAGCAGATGTCCTTTCGTGTCGCACGAGGATTCTTTGGTTAAACAATTTCTCATTTTACACCGTTGTATTAAATTTACGAGTATATGTTAAACACATGTTACAAATGTATGTAACTAATGAATATTAAAACAATGTTTGCTACCACAAAAACTAAACATTTCATTAAATGCACAGAATATTTAATGAATTTTACTTGTATAAGGGGGAAAACACGTAACGGAATCACTCACTGCTGCAATTGTTGCACCAAAGCCAATTTGGCCAAAAACCAACTGTTGGCTTAATGGCTGAAGGGTGGTGGGTTATAGAGTCTCAAAGCACATTTATTGTGTCACAATGGCGCACAGGTACTAAAAGCGCACACACACGTTCACACAGACACACATACCAACGCATATAGGTATACTTCTGCGGTTTAACATTCAGCTGGAATGTGATATGTAAATTATTTAGATTAAAAATTACACAAAACAAAAATGGAAATGCGGGTACACGTGTGTACAAAATAACAACAACAAAAACAACTACTACAATAGCAACATAAGGGTTTCAAGGCAAACGACATTGCATATTTCCCAAGTGGCCTGCGACAAGGTGCGCCTCGACAACAATTTCCATTAACAAAAACAAAGCTATTAAAACAACATATGCGTGCGTGTACATATGTATGTACAAACATTTATATTCATGTGCATAAACTATGTTAGCATACTTAATAAAAAATGCTAGAACACTAACAGTGGCACTTATGTCCGCCAAACAAATTACAAATATATGCGTTACAACAACAATTAATTTTTTGTTTGTTGTTGTTGTTTACCTACGCGCGTATGCATACAGCATGTTCGGCGGAGTTCCCTACGGCGGCTACGCCCAACGAAATCGCTGTCGCCTTCCGCACCAACAAAATGGAAAACGCCAAAGCCGAGTAGAAAATTAAATTGAGAAACGTGGCAGCGTCCTAACCACAACAACTAACCGTGCGCGGAGTGATCGAATGGCTGCAACCGACTAAACGAGCAAACAAAAAAAAAACACACGGGATACAGCAGCAAAAAGGCTGCAGCCAGCGACGTGAGTTGCTATCAAAACCGCGGCATTGTTGGCAAATTTATTTAGCTGCCGCTTGTATTCCCACAACGTATGTTGCCGTCGCAC